AAGCACGATTTTTGTGACATTTACTCCTCCGAAACTACTGAACCTATTGACATGTTTGTGGTGTCATTGGAAAGAGCGTAACGTGAAGTTGTGCAGGAAACCTAATTAAAGAGTGAGGCCCTGGGGACCTTTAAAGTTTCGCATTTCTCCATAAGGATAACAAGGGAGATAATTTTTATTTACAGAAACATATGTTTGTTACCTGAAAATAGTCAAAGTCTACTACATAATAATTGCTGTGTATTATGACTGTTAATGTATACTACATTTCAATCAAGGATTGTGTTCAATAGTAAAATTTAGTTGAGAATAAGTACCATATTTAGAAAACTTTACTATAATAATTGATGTATTTAAAATCACAAATCTTTGACATTATTAATTCATTAGAAACGAAACAGCTGATCGAGAAATCAAACAAATCATTTACTTCATGTGAATAATGTTTTTACACAAACATAGTTTTTTTTTTTACCAACAACTTGATTCTTTTTTACTTCTGGGTGTATTTAGAGTTTGCAGTTATGAAAGCACCAAGCCAAGTACCTTTTATCTAATTTTCTTTATAAACTAACAGTATTAATGAATTACTACATGAACTTTACAAGAGTTAGGTAATTAACTGTCAGTATGCCAAGGGGAAGAGTGGGTCCTCGAAAACAGTCGAAGGCAGAGGCACCCATCTAAAAAATCCAACTGAGTTTTTAAATATAGAGGTCAGTGGATTGCCAAGACACAGATTATACTAATAAAAGGAGGCAGTGGTTTTATTGATATTAATACATCAAAAAGGGCCTCATTAATGGCACAAGGTTTCATGTGATCAGAACGGTTAACAACAATGTAAAGTAGAATGTTAAGTCCTAACATGGAACAAGTGAGTAAGGACATATTTTGATTTTGAGGATACAAAATTTACCCGTCTGAAACACAGTTACCTTTTAAAATGGAAAGATGCTAATATCTGTAATCTTTGGCATTTGCAGCACAAGCACTTTAATTAAAGAGCAGCAATGTTCTTAGCCAGACCAATTTCAGTCATGAGCAACTATATACTGTATATGTTGTTTTAAGTAAGGCTACATCTTTTAATAGTAGGATAAGCATATTCATTACGGAAAATTCTGACCAGGGTAATATTCCTGAAGGTGACTTTAAGACTAAAATCATAGTATTTATGGAAGTGCTTTTGTGAAAAAAATATTGTTAAAAGTGTTTTCTTCAAGCAGCATTTTATGACCCTCAAAATATGCTACATAGGTATATGCTACATTCACTGCCTATTGGTTTCATATGATAAAATGTTTTGTTAAATGTGTTTTCAAATCTCTTAAAAAAAATAACTACCCTGTAACACACTTGAACTTGAACACTTATTAATTTACTAAATATAATAGGCATACAGCTAGAAAATGGCTAGATCGCTTCCCTTCTAATGCTTTGTTATTACTATATTTAATTTTCGACGAGTCAATATATAACACGATGAATTTGTTTTCTAAATTCATAATATGTTTTTGCGGGGCATTGAGCCGCACAGGTTCACTAGTACTTATTTAATACGCAAGCAGGAATTTTGTGACAATTACTCCTCCGAAACTACTGAACCGATTGACATGTTTTTGGTGTCATTGGAAAGAGCGTAACGTGAAGTTGTGCAGGAAACTTTCTTTTTAGGGAAATAATTAGAGAGTGAGGCCCTGGGGCCCTTTAAAGTTTCGTATTTCTCCATAAGATTAACATGGGAATCAAAAATTGTTTTGAAACTCCAGCTGTTGCCAGAAATTAAAATTGATAATTGGTCTCCATGGAACCATGAGAAAATTCTAAATGTTTACTTTTGCTTTGACATTTAAATGTAAACTACCAGAACTGTCAAATGCCTTTATCACAATTTTAGACAGCTGATAAAAAAATAAAACAACTATGTGGTAGGTTTATTTAATCAATTCAATTCAATTCAATTCAATTATTTAAGATGGGGACGCCACTATGTGCGTATTTTAACCCAAATATGAGTGAAGGATGAGTGTAGGATGAGTGGCGCGATCTTGTAGTCTTGTTAGTGACTAAGGCCGACATGTTCCTTAGACACAGCTGTTAATTAATAGCCCATACAGCTAATGGCAACTAAGGGACCTACAGTTTATAGTGGAATCCGAACCACATTTTTCCTTGTAATTTACGAATTGGTCTAATTATCAAGATAATACTGCGGATAGTCGTAGTACTCACTAGTGCGGACGTTAATCCACACCAGGGAGCATCGCATCCACAGTGCATCCCTATAAATATCCACAATTCGTGACCTCCCAGTTGCTGGATTACAGGACGACGCCACCCGTCCCAGTCCAATTCGCATAATCATATGATAGATTATTATAAATCTATTTCAATAATTATGAAACAAATTTTTCCCGTTGCGAAGCAAAAATTAATAGTGAGAAGAAAAAGATATGTTGTAAACAGTCAATGTATAAATTATCGAAGTTGTATTAAAAATATGTATAGTTTTGGATGTTGGTTTGTGTTTAATGATATAAGTTAGTTATTAAATTTTTATTTTAAATTTTAAGGATTTGGCATATGACTAAGCCTATGATAAATAACACCATTTCAGATTTCTGCCAGTTATTGCCTAACTCTGTCCTGTAGAGTTTAAAGTAGCCTACACCTTATTGTCTACAAATTGGCTAGATAGCTTAGGTACGGAACTTAATAAAAGCTGACAGCCTTTTTACGTTGACCTTAAATTGTAAGCTTACATTTTCCCGTCCATGGGAAGTTTGATTGTTAAAAACTCACCCTTTAAAATGGAAAAGGACTATTATGTAAATTGTAAGTATTTCCATTGGTTTATAATCTTTTAGTTGGCTCTTTTGCTCTTTAAATATCATTGGAAATTATGACTGTTATAAGTTTTCAACTAAGTAATTTGTTTGTAAATAACTCCTGTACATTCTTTGCAATTGCTCGATTTCGAGCAACATGTACACTAGTACTTATTTAATACGCAAGCAGGATTTTTGTGACAATTACTCCTCCGAAACTACTGAACCGATTGACATGTTTTTGGTCTCATTGGAAAGAGCGTGACGTGAAGTTGTGAAGGAAACTTTCTTTTTAGGGAAATAATTAAAGAGTGAGGTGCTGGGGCCCTTTAAAGTTTTGTATTTCTCCATAAGATTAACATGGGGAACAAAAATTGTTTTGAAACTCCAGCTGTTGTCAGAAATTAAATATTAATAGTTGGTCTCCATGGAAGCATGAGGAAATTCACAATGTTTACATTTGCTTTGACTTTAAATGTAAACAACCAGAACTGTCAAATCCTATTTCAGAATTTAAGACAGCTGATAAAAAAATAAAACAACTATGTGGTAGGTTTACTTAATCTTAAACTTTATGATAGATTATTTATTATAAATCTATTTCAATGATTATGAAACAGATTTTTCCTAATCAGATGTTGCCAAGCAAACATTAATAGTGAGAAAAACATTTGTTAATTTTAAACAGTCAATGTGCAAATTATCTATGTTGTATTAAAAATGTGCATAGTTTTGGATGTTGGTTTGTGTTTAATGATATAAGTTATTAGTTATTGAATTTTTATTTAAAGGATTTGGCATTATTATGAGTAAGCCATATAAATAACACCATTTCAGAGCTCTGCAAATTTTTGCCTAACTCTGTCTGTAGAGTTTGAAGTGGCCTACACCTTATTGTCTACAAATTGGCTAAATAACTTAGGTACGGTACTTTATAAATAGCTAGCAGCCTTTTTACGTTGACTTAAATTGTAAGCTTACCTTTTCCTGTCCATGGGCAGTTTAATTATTAAAAATTAAGCCTTTAAACTGGAATAGGACTGTTATGTAAATTGTGAGTATTAGTTAATAATCTTTTAGTTGACTCTTTAAAAATCATCGGAAATTATGACTGTTATTAGTTTTTAAACAAGTTATTTGTTTATAAATAACTCCTGTACTAATTGGAAATTGCTCGATTTCGAGCAACATGTACACTAGTAAATGTTAATACACATTACATAATCAATTTTCAAGCCGATAGTTCTGTTAGTGACAGCGTTTCTGAAATCGTTGTTTAAACCACAAATTGACATCGTAAACGTGTAAATAATTCCAATACCATCCTAGAAAACGTATTTGTTGTATTTGTTTATAATGATTTATTATGCACATAAATAACAATAATCAGTACTAAAGGGTGTCCCAATAAGAACGCCGGATTTGAAATGTTAACAAACCATTTATTTTCATGCTAAATTTACAATATGAAACATGAATCTTAAAGCATAGTATCTCCGATTAGTAATTGAGTATTATGTCTTGTAAGTGCCAACCTGCTGAATACTGACAGGCCCGACATCTCTTGACAAAGTTTTCCATCACTTTTTCACACACTTCCTGTTGAATTCCATTAATGGTACGAATCATTTCCTCCTTCAAGTCTTGGATTGGTTGAGGATTATTGGCGAAAACAAGCGACTTTAAATATCCCCAGAAAAAAACTGAGCCAATTTATTCTAACTTAGAAATCAATCTTCGGACAGATGGCTCATTTGGTGCATTGTCCCGGCCGTAAATAGCGCGCAGCTTCCGTGCTTGTAGTGCACTTTATCTATGACCACACATTGATCCGCCGTGTAGCGATTCATGACTACAAATGGGACCTAATACTGATAACATCGCTGATAATTTGGGAATTTCTATTGAAATACAGATAAGGATAAGACGCTTCTCAAATCCGGCGTTCTTACTGGGACACCCTTTATTTAATATTAGTAATATAGTTTTATTATAGGTTACTGTTCCGTAGAGAGCCTATGATATTCATATCAGCATCGATAGAATGTTTTATTCGATAAAAATATTGAAGGTCAAATGTTGTGAACAGAGTAAAGCGCACAGCAAACTTGCGCAAGTTGTATTACGTCAGATAAGTATGGCAATCGCGAGCAATTAATGACAATTTATCATTAAATTTTACACCAAAACTAGCCTAGTTGCGAATGGTTCACTCCGTTTGAGCCATGGAAGGAGCACTGTGGTTTTTCGTGGTTTTAGGATCATCTCTGGTAAGATCTTATCTGAACATACGCATATATAACAGCTCTTTTCATAATTCTAACAATAAGTGTGTTGTAAAAAAAAAGTTTATTGTAAGTTTTCATTGTTTATATGACAGCTGAAACTCATTTTCACCAAGTAAAATCTTACATAAATTTTACTATTTGGGTTATTATTTCTTGTAAAATTTCAGTGTTAGAAAGTACCAATAATCTAGGAAACTTTCATGTTTTTAATTCATACTGATTCTATGCTGATTGGATCTAGGAAAATATAAAATAAAATTTAATACCTATATTTTTTGCTGTTGCAAAGTATTTTAATGTTTTTTTTTAGTTTTTAACTGTTCTTTTTTTGATAAAATTTTATTAGGTACATAAAATTTGATAAGAGACAAACTGTATTTGGGTAAAAATGTAAAGAATATTTAACTAAATTGAAACCTATTCTATTTTCTAAAGAAAGCAATATTTTTTCACTGTTAACTATGGATTTAATTAATTCAGCTTATCCTGGATAATCGAGGTTTTAAAGTATTCCTACGCTTCTAAGTTCTAACAAAAAGTAATGTATGAGTTTTGTGTAGTATTGCATATAATTTTTTTACATTGGTATATTTTTCTGTAATATATTTTACTTTCTATTACTAATCCCTGTGAGTAGTCTAAATTTTTTAAGAGGAAATGAAACAATTTACAAGATTAATTACATTCTTTCAATCGTTGCTCTGGGATAATGTTTCTGTCAAAGAGGTGAATAAAAACTTTGTAGGGTACATTTAGTGTTTGATTCGGTATTAGCATAAAACACACAACATGGTTTTATGAGAACTTTCCAAATTTCATGATCTACTTTTTTTACTTTTACTATTTATTTTGTAAAAAAACTGTTAAAATGTACATATTTTAGTTAATGATTTTTGTAAATTTTATGATTGTACACATAGTATGTATTACAAGTTGAATATGCATATATATTCCATGCATATATATTAATAAGGTATGTAACCTATTTATATATATATTCCATTTCATAAATATAAATGCAAGAATTTCTCATGAGTATGTTTAACGCTAAACAATAATGAAGCAATATAAATATAGTACACTTTATGAGTGAAGATCACTGTTTTGTTATGCATCGATATTAAACTTTTTCTACTCAATTTAAAAACTTGTAATAAATTAATTGTATAAACTTGTGTAAGGCCACTTTCTTTGGTTAGATTAATTCTATAACTTAACAATGAATATTCACGTTGGATAACTGTTTTTTTTTTTTTTATTAATTTAGTTAAAATACCATTACAGCTGTCTTACAATGATTATTAATTAATTTTTTTTAAACAAGTATTGGCAATCTGCACTTATTACTAGAACTCAAGTAAATCTGATTAAAATAAACATGAGTTAGTTACACTCAAAGAGTGAGATTGAGAAAAAATATTTATAAAAAGCCACGTCGCCGGCGACTAATACGGTCGCTAGCCATGTCGCCTGTGATTGACACGGTCGCTAGTCACGTCACCAGCGACTAATACGGTCTCTAGCCACGTCACCAGCGACTAATACGGTCTCTAGCCACGTCACCAGCGACTAATACGGTCTCTAGCCACGTCACCAGCGACTAATACGGTCTCTAGCCACGTCACCAGCGACTAATACGGTCTCTAGCCACGTCGCCGGCGACTAATACGGTCACTAGCCATGTCGCCTGTGATTGACACGGTCGGTTGCCACGTCACCAGCGACTAATACGGTCTCTAGCCACGTTGCCATTGACTGACACGGTCGCTAGCCACGTCACCAGCGACTGACACGGTCTCTAGCCACGTCGCCATAGACTGGCACGATCGCAAGCCACGTCGCCAGCGACTAATACGGTCACTTGCCATGTCGCCAGTGATTGACACTGTCTCTAGCCACGTCGCCATTGACTGACACGATCGCAAGCCACGTCGCCAGCGACTAATACGGTCGCTAGCCACGTCACCATTGACTGACACGATCGCAAGCCACGTCGCCAGGGACTAATATGGTCTCTAGCCACGTCGCCATTGACTGACACGATCGCAAGCCACGTCGCCAGCGACTAATAGGGTCAATAGCTACGTCGCCAGCGACTAATACGGTCACTAGCCACGTCACCAGCTACTAATACGGTTTCTAGCCACGTCGCCAGCGACTAATACGGTCACTAGCCACGTCACCAGCTACTAATACGGTCTCTAGTCACGTCGCCATTGACTTGCACGATCGCAAGCCACGTAGCCAACGACTAATACGGTCGCTAACCATTTCGCCAGCAACTAATACGATCGCTAGCCACGTCACCAGCGACTAATACGGCCTCTAGCCACGTCGCCATTGACTGACACGAACGCCACGTCGCCAGCGACTAATACGGTCACTAGCCGCGTCGCCAGCGACTAATACGGTCACTAGCCACGTCACCAGTGGTTGACACGGTCGCTATTAACGTAGCCAGCGACCGTTCTAATACGTCTGTTCGGCGGAGTTTAGTTTTCTAGTTGTAAAGACGCCATCAATCAGTGAGTACATGTTGTCAGTTGCTCTGATGCTGAAGAATATAAGAAGAATGAAGAGACCAGTGCACGTTCATCCTATTCTGTATATTTTTCGAAGGAAAGATGTTTTTGTACTATACTTTATTCGACCAACTGTGTAATTATGTGCATTTATTATGCACCTAAATGTAAAACACGTCATTTTCGAATTGACGATATAGTAGGGCAAGAGACGCCTTTGAGAGAACCCATATCACCAGCAGAAAAAGCTGGTTGTTATTTTGCTGTAAGATTTTGGGGTTACAAGGTATTAAAAAATACAGGGTGATTGATATAAGTGTGCCAGCTGTTTATTCGAAAGTTATGAGAGATATCAAAAAAAAATTAAATTGTAAACTGCCTTGGGTTTTTATTTAAAAGACTTTGGTAAAGTTGAAAAAGTAATTTAGTCATTATGTCACAGCAGCCTCTCTTGTAGTCTTCTTAGCGGTTGGGAGCAGGAAGAACGAATATTAAAACAAGCGAATAGGGATCAGCTAACACTTTATTACTTAAAAAAAATTAATCTTTAACAATTTCATCGATTAAAAATAACTCATTACAATTTACAAAGCAAACCACGACTGACAGAATAAACGAGTTACAATAATGAATTCAAAAACGTACACGGGCTTAAAAGAAAAGAGTAAGGATAAAAGAAAGGGCGCGAGACCGCGCGCGGCGGACTATACCGTCGTCCGCTACATTCCGGCGCGATCTAATTGCTTCAGCATCGTCCGAGCGAGAGCCTCAGCGTGGTCACATGACCATCGTCAGCCAATCAGCGCACGCTGAGCGCTCAGCCCATAATTCAACGCGTGGACAGTTGCTTGACAGGTGCTGCAGCCAAACGATTACAATGGTCATTAATAAAACTAATTGAAGCGAGGAACTGAGTCTAGAAGTGTAACATTGCTTATCGCGACACACGTACATGCAAAGTTAGCACATCCGGCCAAGCCACGACGTCTGGTTAGGATTATTGTAGGGTTACAAAGTAATGAAAGGAATTGGAGTATGAGTTTTAAGGTTCACTTGGAGACTTATGCGAAGTTAAATAAAATTCAATATTGCTAAGTACAGTTGACACATCAACCTAGCAAATATTCGGTGATAGCCAACGGGCCAGGTTTAGGGAGTAAGGCCAATCAGCTTTATGCTCAAAGTTAACAAATTACAACAAAATGAGGCAAATATGCCAGGCCGTCACAATTATAAAGCCATTTTTGCAATATGGCCGCCAACATAGATATTCTTATAGAAAACCCTATATTTTATGATTTATTTAGAAAGTAAATGCCATTTAAAAACGTTTTTAATCCAAACATTTTTTCTCTAAAGCTACTCATTTAGGAGTTACACCGTGTTAAAACCCCATAAAATACATAGTTTTGTAATTTCAAAATGTTCGGCCATTTTGGAAATAATAGAGTCACATGTTTTTACATAATTCACCTACACAGCTGCTCAGGGTTCACAAAAATTGAAGGTTTGATAAATGGGCATGTATTGTTGCAGATTCTTCAGAGCTTGGCTTCTGGACAGGTTTCGAATACGAATGAAGTCCAAGGCCACGGTAAATCCAATATTTATTAATCGATATTCTTTTATTACATGGTTATTAAAGACATTTGGGTAACAACCCGAAGCATATATAATGTGTGTGTGTGTGTGTGTGTGAGTGCGTGTGGGTGTGTGTGTGTGCGTACGTTTGCATATCATTGTCGGGACACACGCCTGCATACGGCCAGACAGTCGGGCTAACACACGGTTGTCGGGACTCACACACGTCCCGACAAGCAAAGAATGCCTGAAACGTTGTAATCAGGTCCCAGAAACACTTAGAAAATTTTGTTTTTAAATGTCCCGACAGTCAATGTACGCCCCCGGAGTCAGTGATGTCTATCTTAGTCGGGCCCTACATCTCACACGTACGGTGGCGCGGCAGTGGTGATTTGTGGAACTAATGAAGTGTGTGGATGTCCCGACATTCACTTCAAATGCAGGTTTCATGTTGAAGAGATGCAATGTTGCCAGTTCGAAGTTCCAACCGTTTTTTGCATCATCTAGTGCTGACTGCTGGTGGTCGTGTCGTGGAGTGGAGCGGAATTGACCTTGCATGTTGCGGTTGCTCCTCTGACTTAGACAGCGTTGTAGCCGGAGCTGTTGTCTGCCTTATGGCGATATATTTTCTTCTACTGTAGTAACTCTCAACTCACTGAAGTTAGTTGAGGTTATGTTATTAACTTTCAGTCAGTTATTCCGATTATTACCGTACAAAAAGATCACCAAATACTAAAAAACTATCAGTGGAATAAAATAATCAAATCAATTCAGTTATTTACGTTTATCGCAAATCATACAATTGATAGGCTAAGTAATTTATAGAACCAATTTAGTTAAACTTAGGCCTTGCTAACTTGCAATTAATTTATTTAATTTGTAATTAATTTTAATTCGTTTTGTAATTAATTGTTTGTATAGTTAAAATATTTATTATATCTTTCCATATATTTCTTATATGAAATATTGGGTACAGTTTCTTAACTTAACTGGACTAGCTAATATATATTGAAACTATCAATTCGATTAGTAAATTTATAATAATTTAGGGACAAAATAGATATTACTAGATGTAGGTTAGGTAAGGCACAAAAATATCATGATTATTTGGCTGTGGTATTATACAATAAATTACCAACTTGCCTAGTCAATTTAGAGTCTGATAAAATGTTTCTAACTAAATTTTACAAATGGCTACAGGAAAATCCCATGTACTCGGTGGATGAATACTTTGAGCGAGAAATTGTGATAGTTTAGGCTTGTTTTGTTATTTTGTTCTGAAATGTTTATAATTGTTTTGTCTTTAAATTATTTATGATTCATGTTTGTTTAATAGTCCTTAAGCCAATACCACACAGTACCTGACTCGCCATAATTTCTTAATTTCTTATTTTATGTAGCTAACTTATTAGGCCTATTTTTAAAATTGACAAGACCTATTGTATTTTGTATTTACTTAACGGTCAATAAAATGTCTTATTGTCTTATTGTCTTATTGGTATAAATTTTTGGCCGCCATCTTGGATCCGTCATATTGGATACAAAGTTTTGTTTTCAAATGTAAAGATAGGGTTGTGATCCATAATTTCAAATTAAATTTTACGCTGATTACAATGCCACAATTTGTTTAAAAAAATCTTGATCCATTCTAAAGTTATGAGGACTTTTTATAACTTTATTTTTAGCCCATTTTAACATTGTGCATTTACAAACAAAGACCATTTAATCAAAAAATAGTGCTGGATAAAGATAAGTAACACCACCAGTCATTGTTGACCTATTTTCACTTGGCTACGACGGATGTATATTTTTCGGCCGCCATCTTGGATCCACCATTTTGAAATGTGAAAAATTATTTTGCATTTTCATATTTAGTTTTTGAAATATTGACATTGTAAATAAAATAATTATAATTTTTCATCAAGAAAGCTTGATAACAAAAAATGGATTGCGGCATTGAGTTCAGCATAAAATAATTCAAAATTATGGGTCACAACACCACCTTCATTTTTAAAATAATTTATCACATTTCAAAATGGCGGATCCAAGATGGAGGCCGAAATAGTAGCTTGTGAGTCTTTACGACACGAGTAGAAAATTTAAGGCACGAGCCTTGGCTGTTGAGATAAATAATGTTAACATTATTCATTTAAAATTATTATATATATAGCCTATATATATATTTTGTTTGTATTATCAACTCTTTTGTTGCCTTTGAGTTTAGGAAAAAAAAAAAAGTTTTTTTTAGGCTATATCAAGAAGGTCTTTGAGTTGTATAGAAAAAGGAGAAGTAAAATGGCCGTGGTAATGAGAGGTTGAGTAGTTGTTTTTGCTGTGTAAATTGTAACATTAAAAAAGTGTTTTCAATAAATAAGATATTTGGGAAATGTATTGTATTATTAAAAAGCCCAGCACAGACTAAAAATTCACAGGTCATGGGCCCAGGTACGCCTGCAGAAGCAGAAAAGTAAAAACGTACCGGTAAAATCAGAAACATGGCAAGTGGAAATTACGACAATGTGGAAAAGTTGAGTGACTCTGAGTCGTACAAATATTGGAAATTTCAGACAACAGTACTATTCAAAGCCCAAGGTAATTATGATATTGTTGAAGGTAAATATGAATATGACACAATTACAGACGAAAAGGAAAGAAAAGAATGGTTAAGAAAAGATGCCCTAGCTCAGAAAATAATAGTCACCTCAGTAGACAAACGCTATTTAGTTCATATTTTAAATGAAACAACATCTCATGGAATGTACAGTAAATTATGTAGCTTGTTTGACAGAGAGACCGAACAACAAAAATGTTCTCTATTGCAAGAATTTTTTAATTACAAATATGATGTTGGCCAAAGTATGACCCATTTTTTGTCTAACCTACAGAACATGGCTTTTAAATTAAAATCCTTGAATCAAAATATTGATGATGATATGCTAATATCAAAGATCCTTTCATCATTACCAGAGCAGTTTAAGCATTTCTTAACTGCTTGGGATTCCACTTCAAAAGATGAAAAATCCCTAACTAACCTAACAACTAGGTTATTAGCTGAAGAATCACGGTTTAAAACTGATAGTGGTCATGATATGTCATTGGCTTTTAAAACTGGAACAGAAAAATTTCCAAGGTTAAATAGAGGTGGTAATAATGATAGGCCTAGTACCAGTAGGCCTAGTAGCTACCAGCAACCTAAGTCAAGTTACCGACCTGGAGCAAACTTAAATTTCAATCAGCGATCAAACACTGGAAATGTAAATAGTCTTAATGTAGGTAATCGCAAATGCTTTATTTGTGAGAAAGTAGGACACTTTGCAAACTCATGTCCTAACAAAAGTAAGAATCAGAGTACTGGTAGAAGATTATTTTGTAAAATATGCAAGAAAACAAACCATGAGGACAAAGACTGTTATTTTAGATCAACTAATAAATTTTCAAATGACAAAAGTAAATTGTCGTTCTTAACCTACTCAGATTTTAATAAGTCGAAACATGTAATTCAGTTTGTAGTTGACTCAGGATGTACAACTCATATGACAAATGACAAAACATTGTTTTCTTCACTAGAATTTAAGCAGTCAGATGTACATGTTGCTAAAAATAATGAAACAATGACAGCAATAGGAGAAGGTAAAGTTGAAGGGAGAGAGTTTGATTTGAATAAAGTTTTGTTTGTTCCTGATTTAAGCACCAACTTATTTTCTGTAAAGGCGGTCACTGATAATGAAGGAGAAGTGACATTTACCAAGGACAGGGTAGTAATATCGAAAAATGGAAAGACAGTAAGTGAAGGTGTGAAGCAGGCTAGTGGTCTGTATACAATTAATTTAGAACCTGAGAGTAGCCTAATTGAACAATCAAGTAAAACTATGTTAACGGGGTATAAGGATAGGCCTAATGCGTTGGATTGGCATTCTCGTTTGGGACACCTAAATGTAAACTACATGAAGAAAATGGTAAAGCAAAATTTAGTTGACGGTATGGAACTAACAGAAAAAGATTGTGAAGAAATTGAAAAAAATTGCGATGTATGTTTAAAATCGAAACAAACCCGTTTCCCATTCAGTGAAGAAAGAAAACGTGCAGAAAGACCCCTCCAAATCATACACACAGATTTATGTGGTCCCATTGATCCGAGTACATGGGATGGAAAAAAAATATGCTTTGACCTTGATGGATGACTATACTCATTTTGTAGTGGTCAAGTTGTTGTCGAACAAACATGAAGCATTTAAGTTTATAAAAGAATATGTATTAGAAGCCGAAGCTCAGCAAAATCTTCGGGTTTCAAAATTAAGATGTGACAACGGTGGAGAATATAAAAGCAAAGAAATGCAAGATTGGTGTAAAAATCGAGGGATTCAGTTAAGCTATACAGAAGCGTATACGCCAGAACACAATGGGAAGGCGGAGAGATTAAATCGAACACTGATTGAAAAGGCCAGAGCATTGTTGTATGACACAGAGACTGACAAGAAGTTTTGGGGAGAAGCAGTGAGAACATCAGCTTATTTGTTGAATAGAAGTCCTATAGAAGCGGTGGACGTAACACCAGCAGAAAAATGGTTTGGGAAAAAACCTAATGTGTCTCGACTACGGAAATTTGGATGTGAGGGACATGTAAAAATTGTGAGACCAATCAAGAAACTTGATCCGAGAAGTGAAGTCATGAAATTTATAGGCTATGCAGAAAATGGTTATCGAATGTGGAGTTATGACAAACAGAGGATCATTACAGCTAGAGATGTCATTTTTGACGAAAAAGGAAATAGGCCTAAATCAGATGTTGGAGGAAAAATTGATTTTAGTCTAGAAAATGACTTAGTCGATGGTAATAGTTCAAATGCAGAATTTTATGAAGAAAATCATGAAGAGGAAAATGAAATGAATCCAGTAAATCAAACCGAAGAAACAGAAGAAGAAATAAGACCTAGAAGAGAAAGGCGAATACCCAGTAAGTTTCGAGATTTTGCAATGTTGACGTTTAAAGAAGCTATAAGTAGTCCAGAGAAG